TGTTATGATGTGTTGTGTTATATATTTTATTACAGGATAATGCTCAACAAGAGTTGTTGCTTGATGTGAGGAGAGTCATTTGTTCGACGCATGTTGTACATCCATGGCTGGTTTGGCTCATCGTTTCGTTGCATTGTGCTGTAGTCGGTGGTTGTTTGAATCATCGTATAATTATTATTGGCTGGGTTGGCCTCGGTGAATGTTGAATATTTTAAGGATTACACGGTATGAGATGAGAATGTTTGGGTCACGATACTATTTAGATGATGCCATGCAGATTCTTTATAATCAAGGCCCCATCTTCCCATCCAATCTCTCCTCTGCTTGGCTCAGGACTTTTTTAAGTGTAAAGAAAAAATTGAATTACCTAATTGGTAAATTCCACAACATAAGTTTACCGGCATATTTGAGTGCATAATCGCTGATAATAATTTTTAATAAATTATTGCAAATTTAAACTTGGTGATTTTACACTTTTCAAATTGATCCCTCTAAATGAATAATTCTAAATGCATATTATGACTAAAAATCACGTGAAAGCAGAAAACCTAGCATTTAAGCAGTTTATATGCACTAACAAGTACGCAGTATGACAAGAACCATACAAGTCCTTGTGTAAGGCGATTTACCACTATACAGTACCAATAAAGTTTTGCCTATTTCTGACCCTAATCAGGCGGGTAGCCAATAATTTTCTGTTACTGCAGCTATCGCATTTGGCATCCCCTACTGTTATTTACTGCGAGAGGGTCCTGTTAGATGTAAGGATGGATTATTACTTACATCACTAAAAGGTCCAATATCCAACACACCAGGCGAAAGTAACGACCTGAATCGTCATACCTTCGACTTATTTACAGTATTGTGCAATTCGTGAAATGCGCATTCACATGTTTCCATAAATGAGACCTCTTGCTGCTCCTCAGTCCATGAGAGAGAGAGACTCGGTCAATCAAGCAAACGAAGCGAAAAACCAGGCTTGCAACAAAACTGCAGGCTTGGCAAATTTATTGTAAGGACTCATTATGAAGTCTTGCTTGATGCAATTAGCAAGATGGATTTTTGCTTTGATGGTTCCATAATTCCGTCCATATTGCTTCTTTGTCAGTCGTCTTTTAAAATTGGCTTGCCTGTAAAAGTCGAACGCTTTCACGTCACGTAGCAGGAGAATTTTATACCATTATTATTGATCTTTCGTGGAATGTACACCCACGATTTCTAAAAATGTCTCACGCACGAGTATTGAATGAGTTTGTGCAGCCGACAGAGCCACAACTATTTATTTGATTTAGCTCATACGGAATAAAGTTTGGTCCAAAGGACAACACAAAAGTTATGAATCGAGAAAGCAGTGGTTGCAACGATTTCTCTCCTGCTTTTGACGTAAATGTTGGACATGGTCGTGCACGTCGTAATCGACCTCCATCCAGCATGCTTCCAAGTAGGGGAGTAAAAGCAGAGCAAATGCAGAGATACATGGATGGCTGACTTGGTGGGGTGGTAAAGAGGAACGAGTTCATCCGATTTCCGAGCTTTCCTACGCTACCCGGCACCCGGACTTGTGATGAATAAAGTTTTATGCTCCTCATCCCATGCACCCGAGGCAACTATATTTAATGACTCACTCTGCCTGTCTTCCTGCAAAACTGTGCATAACGATGGCCCCTTTGCCTCTGCCCCTACGCAGTCATGGGCGATAACCCAAATTTAGTATGATTTCTCTCGGCTTAAATAAAACTAAATTTAAGGACATGCAGATACGTTTTTAATGCTAAAATAAATATTTCCATTTTTTGATAGAGTGTGTGGAAGGTATCCTTAATATTTAAAAGTTTAATACCTAATTCATTTGGTGGATCATTGTCATCATTGTTTGGTTAAACTTACCTTATATAAACAGCTTATCCGTCTGGATAAACATTTTTTGAGACGACTGGGAAGGTCACGAAACGGTCAAACGTCGAAATAATTATAACATGTGGGGCATCATTTTAAAGATATTTCAAAGCATAATTTAACATCATTATTTTAGAATTTTAAGGTCACAAGGTCACGAAACGGGCCAATGGGGCAATGTGAGCTTATCTTAAGAAATGATAGATATGGCGTTATTAAATATATTACCCAAAATGATCTCATATTCCTCCAATCGATCGTAAACATGTTCATTGTTGCACAATTCTGCTATGCTCAACAATTTAACATGTCATCAGCTACTTTCAACACTAGCTTCGCTCACTTTGTTGAATCCGTGTCGTGCAATAGTTTATTCTCATCTGGTTTTAATTTTGCAAGTTTGCAACTTCCTTCTGCCCCATCCTGTTTTTTGTCCATGTTCACTCCCTACCTTCTGAACACAATGAGAGTGTGATGGCAGAGATATGTGTGTAGGAAAGAACAGGGGATGAGAGGAGGTAAAGCAATGTCAAATTCCTCCATTCTTTCAACACTAATCACTTTTCTTGAATGTATCCTCCAACCACCATCACCGAGTCGAGCTACTGTTTGTTGGCTACTGAGTATCACGACTACTTTTAATCAAGATTCTAATTCAAACATTCCAAGCAAGAAAATGTGTTGTTCATAAATAAATGAATTATTCTTGCTGCTACGGCTGCTAGTTCTGGCTGTTCTTCATAGGTCTCTACGTCTAAATACGTTGACTAATCCTAAGAATAAATTGGGGGCCACATGTTCGCTCATTCTAATTTAAGGAACATGAATATATTACTTCACATTCTCCTTGACGATGAGTAGGCATTTGATGTAATGTCAGTCACTCACTCACTCTGGATCAGTCAGTGGATCTTACAATTTGAATCAATTGGTTAATTACTACACGTATCAGTTGTATGCAAATAAATATATGTGCATTTTCAGAAGTGTGTACATAAATATAAGTAAATGCTAAGATTCCATAGATTTCCCATTTCTTGTTACCTAAAGAGAAGTTTTGATGTCAGACTTTCCTTGTTACATTGACATGGTGCATAACTGACCACGCCAAACAATGTAATTAATTGCATTGTTTGACGTGGTATCACTCAATGCACACAAACATTTCGCCATACATCAATTTATTTGGATTTTTATAACATTCCACTTTTCGTTATATAAATTATGAATGAAACCAAAATGAAACTCGTTATTTTTTCCTGTGCCAAAGAGTTATTATTTTTATGAATGGCTTTGCATTTGAGATTTACTCATAATGGAATGGATGGGATGAATAGTTTGTAATTTCTATTTTGTTGCAGACTTGGTCATTAACCTTTCCCAATGGCATTGTGGCTTACGACAAAATTCTTTAGGGCAACTATGCGAAAATAATACTAATTTACTTGATAAAGTTGAAATATCACGAGAAGATAATTTAAATGGCAATGGACCTTTTACCCAACTTCTTAATAGTTTTCTAACCACACCTAAGCAAATGAGGTGCATGTAGTCAAGAGGAACCGAAGAAATCATCAAAATTTTAAGCTCCGTAAACGGGGAAATGCCTACATGGTGGTGTTTATCTTTTTGAACATAAAAATCTTGATCTGTCGTAAGTGGACTATCGAATGTTCTGAAAATTACACGTCCCTTCCAGAAACCTGGATCTATACATTTCTCGCATCCATTGTATGCATTATGACTTTTACATTGCTTTAAAAAACTCCTGGCTGGCGCATCAGCTATTATTTTTGAAACCTTACAAAATATTTTCAAATTATTGTAACTAATCCCAACTCGCAAACTTTTTAACTCTGCTATCAAATCCATCAAGTATTCGTCAATACTTTCTGGTTTTGTCTTGCCATAAAATAAACCCACGACAAATACGCCGTACGTACTTTCTTCACACTTTGCTTGAATTGGCCAAAACTGGTTACTGTTACTCTTAGAAATGGGCAATCCATCAAAACTAAATATAAGGTTTAATTTAATTTCGCTACCAGAAGCAAGAATACAATTGGAATCTATTTGCCGTTTTATATTTTGAATAACATCAAAGTGTGCATATTGACCCTGACCGATAGTTTTCATAGAGTATTTAATTGAGTTTTTAAGCAATGTCCTACTATCCAATGGAAGAAATCTAAATTCTTGATAAAAGTTAAATATGCGTAGAAGATCGTTTAAAGCTACTCCCGTTATGTTATGTCGAAGCGACCAGTCCCTCAAGTCCCGTGTTAAATCTAAATTATTTTCTACTACACCATTGTCGCTTAGTGAATCGGAAACTAATGGCTCGTCACTATTATGGATAACATTACTGCTTCTATCATTATTGCTAATATTACTACCTGAATCGCTATCCTCAACGACAGAATCACATATATCTAAATTTACAAGATTATTACTAATAGCAGGTATGTTTTTTGCACGAGTGAGATTCTCTCTAACCCGTTTTGCAATTATTCGCCTAATGTTGATTTTCCATCTCGATCCATGATTATGATGCAATTCCCGAGGGAGCGTCGTCGTTGCACCTACTTTTTGAAGAACGAAACCAATTCATTGCTGCAGTTTGAATTATATCATCGGTGGGAATACGGCCGTTGGGATTTTTGGGATCGGGAACGGACTCAACTGTAAAGACGTTTCGCACGGTTTCTGAAATTTGCAATCCAATTAAACATTAAATAGAGACCAACAATTAGAAAATGTTCTTCATTTTAGAATATATTTTAGCACCTTTTACGACTTCCAATAGTTTTAGGTTTTTCATCGATGTCTTGTTTCCTTTACCCGTAAAATTAATTCGCCTGCCAAATTCATTCGTAAATAATTTTTTCAAGATTTTTCTAGTGCTCGCCTCGATCTGTGTCGCAGTTGAAAATGCCAAATATTCAACCTAGTATCAAATATAAGAAAAAACATTAAAGTTTAATTATGCATGTAAAATATCTCGATTAAATCGTACCAGTAATTCGCGATTTGAATTCACCTCGAGCCAAGATTCAAACTCCGCCAGTGCTACCTCGTTGTCGAGGGGTAATTTTGGAATGGCACTGAAATTGGGAGCCTTCCTACCATCCGGCCTTTGTTTCACATTAATCAGTAAAGCCTTAATGTCTTTAATGTCTTCAGCCTGCTTTTCCAACAAAGTTAGCACACTTTGCGTTGTCCCTGCAACGTGATTACAAAGCGTTAACATAATACATCAATTTTAATAAAATTATTTTGCTTGTACTAACTTGAAATCAACAGCCGTAAATCATTTAACTCCTGCGAATTTACAACAACAAAAGAGGTGTCTCCAGTTTCACCTTGATTTCCTACTTGTAGATTGCTTTGCTCTTCAGTTTCGGGAATTATTTCAGGAATGCTCAATGGTTGGTCTAAAAAGCATCACCATAATGATTAGTATAAAATATTTGTGGCAGTATTATAAGCCTACCCAGCTCCAAATTATCCAGAAGTGAGCCAGACGGAGGACTGTTTTTGTTCGCGTCGCTATCCTCCTCATCGGATGAAGACGTTACATCCCCTCGTGTGCTGCTGGGCTGAATATCGGGAATTATCTTCTTGCTCCTTAATCTGCTTTCTGGTTCTGTTTCACTTTCCAAGTTGGAAGTGTCCTCGGCTACTTGAAGTTTTTTTGTCGCAACTTCATAATCATCTAAAATAATGATATTTGTTAGTAAATGTAAAATAATTGGAATGACTTCTCATAATTTGAATTAAATAGCTATTTACCGTAATTCCCAATAATCCTGGCGTAGCTAACTCTTCCCCACTTGACATCAGGAATAGCAGTGCCCTTTTTTATCAAATTTCTAATACTTGGCCCAGAGTTTGGTGGCCAGAGACAAACTTTCTCTGCGGGGATAACCCAGTGACTTAGAACAAGCTCCACAGGCACTGAATTGTATTTATCAGGGGGGAATTCAATTATGTAATATTTTTTTCGCGACATTTACTGGTATGAATAAAACCAGGGAAATCCTCCAAGGAAACGGGAAAAGGGAAAGGCATTTGCCTGAGGGAAAGTCTCACAGGTCAAGGCTATTGCTCCTTTTCGTATGAATAAACTTTTACCTTTCTCGCCAGGCAAATCCCCTTGGTTTCGGGCAAATCCCCTGACTTCAATTACATGTAATTAAAATAATACCATCGCAACGAACACAAATGCATTTCAAAAATTTCTCTGACCATGATTTTGATCAAATTCTTAAAGAAATGTCCCCCAATGACCCCCACTGGTTTGTGATGTTCGCTAAAAAGGCTAAAATTCGGTATCGGCGCATCTCAGAATTGCAAAAATCAAGGAAATTTCAGCGTTGTTTTGTTGTATATAAGTGTATTTAATTTAATCTATTTTTGATTTTTTGAACACCCTCCAAACTCACTCAGACTAACCTGGAAAAAACCACCTTCAAATGCTCGCCAAAAATCAAATTGTTCTCGGAATTTAAAAACTCTTTTACGATTATTGTCCCATACAGTTATTTTATAATATTCAAGATCAAACTCATTTTTGAATTTTTTATAGATTTTCAAAAATTTCCTAACCAGGAAAAATACTAAAATTCTAACCTCCTAACTTTGTATAAAGCTAAAAATTTTCGAATTTTGAAACCTCCCTTTTTGTAAAATATGCACGACGATGAATGGGTTTCAAAATCGCCATTTATATGGAGGAATGGAAAGTTGAGACACAAAAATTCAAACTCAAAACCCACATGCAATGGACCCTTAAACGGCGAATAAATGAGCGAAAGCATTATTTAATTAGAATCTTGGAAAATTTTCAACATTTATATGCAACTTGCGCGATACCGGTAGCATGACCAGTTGGCCGAAATCTGAATTTAAAAATATTTCAGAAAATATTTTCAGGTTTTCAATGAAAATATAAAATACATTTTTTCGATGTCGATAGCAAATAAAAATCTATATTTTTGTCGATAAATCTGGTTTTGTGAGTTTCAAAGCCCTAACATGTCCAACTAGTGTCCAACATTCATAAAAAGTACAACAGATGCTTAAAAACTAAGTTTTATTGCTAATTTTGTTAGTTGGGGTCAGCATAGTAGCTGATCGGTATTTTTTGGGGAGATTGCCTGAAGGAAGGGCTTTCACCATGGTTTTATTCATACGAAAATCCCCGTCTCCAGGGAAAATCTTGAGGTTGAGGGAAAAGCTATTCCCTTTTTTCTTTCCCTCGGGGAAAAGCAAATGCCCAAATTTTTATTCATATATATTGGGGCATTCTCCTCAATTCGGAAAAAGGATTTCCCTGGTTTTATTCATATCACCCATTGAGACAACAGATAAATTAACAGGGAATTAAATTAACAGGGAATTTACGAGACTGCGAGGGTGGGAGAGAAAAGGAAATACCACGCTTCTCTTAGATTCAAACTCTCGCGCGTTGCCTGTCTCTTCGCACCCACCATTCATTGTGTATAAATTGCATGATTTTAACGCCTCATGTAATGTGGGTATTGACAAGATATTGGTGCGGTATTTTTACGCAATATCTCAGCACGTTTGGGTGGAATAATTTTTCAACCATAGGTTACAGTTTTTTAATGCAAATTTAGCGTGTCTCACGGTGCACACCAAACTTAGCACAAAATTTATGCAATAATCACGCCTTTTTTTGTTTGTTAAAAATTTTCACCATGGATGCGTTACTTTGACGCAAAAGTAATAATTTTTGTTGATCGGGTTTGTAGTCATTATATTGTTTATGCACATATTCATACGTAGAGTTTTTTGTGTTAATCCCAGTCTGCAAGTAGGCTATTCAAATACAAGAAAATTTGGGAATGGAAAGAGGAAATCTGATTATCCCCTTGAAATTACGACAGAGGAGATGATACAGTAGGACGGTCAAACTGGTCTCTTTAGTAAAATCCTTGAATAAAAAGCAGAAACACTACAATAATTCTAAATCAATGCGCAAAACAAATAAAACAAAGTCAACCAAAGTTTGCTTGCTTAAAGTCTCAACCACAAGAATAATGTTGAAAACTTGTGCATCCTCTAAATGCGATGAAGCCATGTATTCCCCAGCGTATTATTATATAACCAATGCCAGATTATCCTGAAGATGGAACATTATTTATTTATTTTTGCTTCTCCTTTAACTATGACTTAAGGAGCTGAAGGAACGGTTGATTTGTCTGAGATGCCCATATGCATATTATTTATTTGTGTATTTGTATAAAGCTGTAGTAAAATACTTTGTTGCTCTCAAAGTGATTTAAAGATGCCTCGCTTGTTCAATTCCTTTTTCTTCCATGATTACATACTTGCGTATTTTATTTGCTCGCTCCCAATATCATGCACATCTCTCACGTATATGAATGTACGTACCTACACACAAGAATACTGCGTAGGATGAAAGTAACTCTCCATTTAAGAGCCTTGTTCCATTAAACATGACTAATTTAAAGTTTATGGTTCAAGGTAATTAATCAGTTTGATTTCTTTTTGCACAGGCACAAGTCGACCACGAGATACAAAGTGGTGAACCCTACGGCTTTCCAGGAGAAAATAACGGTACGAATAATTTATTTACATAACGTTTATAATAATTAAGATTATGTATTTATATGGATTGATGCATTTATTATCTTGACAAATCTTAAACTTTTTTATACCGTGATATTTTTAATCATCATCACCATATTTGTATCAGATCACGACTCTGGGACCGAATCTGACGACGAGAGCGGCGAAACCAACTGTTTTCCAGGAGATAATAACGGTAAGACAATTAATCCAAGTTCACATTAAGCCTGATAATTTGACCGGAATGCAAATCTGGTTTTGTTTCATTGCGTCCTCCCCTGCGGAACTGTTGATAGTTGATACTTTACTTGACTTGGCGTAATCCATTGGTCACGCTGTGCCAGGCAAACCAGGATTCCTCAATTTATGTTCTGACTGGCTCTTCTTTGTCCATTACTTTTCTTTTGTGTTTAAATTCATCAAGATTTCAAATATCTTTGTTCTCTCTCTCACTAATGCCACCACCGCATTTACACCCCACCAGCGAGTTTTAGTTAGTTGTATTATGCTCAACGTTTTAGACGTTGTGTATACCGTATGTATGTATGTAGTAAAGTTGAAGGTACATATATTGTAGGAGATGCAACCACTTTTCATTTTTCGTGAAAGGGGCAGTTGCATTTGAGGGTGGTGAGAGTAAGGAAGTTACGGGTTCAAATTACCAACTTGCCACACATGTGTATGAACTATATGTAGGAAAGGAGCAGCAGTTGGTAGCCGTGCTGGGCTTAAGTTGGTTTATGGGCAGAGACAGAGAAAGAAAAGACGACGTGTAGAAGTAGCGAGGCAAGAGTGGATATCTTGTGTAAAGGATGCAAGAATAGCAAAAAGAGGTTGAACGTGGATCCGGTGCAAACTGCCGACAGCACATGCATACAAATTTAGTCTCCCTTTAATGTCGATGTTCAAGGAATATATATTTTGAAATATTTTTAGAAATAAGAAAAGTGTAGGGCATAAGACAGACCTGTCTAAATTCTAGATTTTTATCAACTCTAAACCTGCTGCACTGTCTGATCGGTCGTCTCATGGTTGAGGTTTTTATTCCCTTCCAAGTAAGTATGTCTTCTCGCTTATGGGTCTTACTTAGCAGACAAGGTAGCAGCAGCAGCAAACGAAGAAAAAAGGGAAAAAAACTCGAGAAACTTTAGAATCTTTGAGCCAATACCGTTTGATGTGTGCCATATATTCCAGTTTTAGTCTACCTTTGTGATTATTTTGAAGTCGAATGTATATGTATATGTATGTACATCGACTCCTCTCTGGCCAAGTCATATCAAAACTCAATATGTCGTAAAATACCTTCGAATGTCATATCGTTCACTTGAGGAAAATCATGTTGATTTTTTTCCCTTTCTGTGAATGCTTTTTCCTATGTGCACAGCAGAAATATATGTGCATGAAGATATATCGATATGTATGTAGCTTGTGCGTCTGATTCTGATTTGAATGCTACATTGAGGGCATATAAAAAGGGGATGGGGGCAAAGGAAATAAATGAAAATTGAACTCTTTCTCCGAGAGTCGAAGAGACAAAGAGCTTTTGATTTCACAGAAGAATGGCACAGATGAAACGAAATGAGATGAGGTGACAATGAAATGACAATACTCACTCCAGCAGACCATGATTCTTTTCCCTCTGTCTGCTGCTATGTACGACCTATGGCGTGGCATCACCATTGCTTAGCCTGCCTGGGAAGAGGAGCAGCAGCAGCAGCAGCAGAATCATATACTGGTGGGAAAGTGTAATGGCAAAATTGAATGAGTTTTCACATTTCGTTATTTTCTCCTCGAAAGTGGTGTCGCTCTCTGCTTTGCTTTACTTTCCCCGAGTATGAAATGATTCCATTTCCACTCGGCAGTTGGTTGTGGTGGAAGAGAAAGGAAGAAGCTAGAGTCCGCAGTGCACAATAAACCCATCCATTCTGGGCAGGTGGGTGGTGGGTGGGTTTTGTCAGTGCTTTCAGAGGAAGGAAGGATGCAAGTGTGGATAGTAATGGAAAATGATATTTCTTGTCTTTTTGTCCCACTTACTGCTCCACACTTTGAATGCCACCCTACCCGAAACGGGCACATCGTACACTTTCACAGATTCTCTCCTGTCTTTAAAGACGGCACAAAAGATATAGCAGCAGCGTTTCTTCTTGTCCTCGTAGGAAAGTACGTGGGGGCTGCTGCGAGTAGAGTTGGTTGCAAGTAACTCAATACTCATTTATTATTTCTTTCCGCTAATGCACTGCACTTGGTTCCTGCTGGCTGCTCTGTTGCTCAAATTCGTATATCAAAATAACACGAGGGACACTGAGGAACCCAGCAGATAAACAACTGCTGCAGACCAAGAGAAAAGATTGAACATAATTTATATCAATTTTTAGTCAGAGGCTGGTCTTACGGAAGCATCGTCTTGGTCGTTCTAGCCGTTTGTCTGCAAGCACGCTCTTCATGCTTATCAGATTGTGCTCCAATTCGGTGCAGATGTGTATATCGAGTCAAATTAAAGTGCGACTACGCCAGACTCAGCCCGTTTAGATGGATGGGATCTTTTTTTAAATAGCAAGGTGAAATTTTACAGAGGTTCGAAAAAAGAAATTCTCAAATTGAGGTACTCCAATAGTTAAGATACCTAAGCAGTTGGTTATTTTTTATGAACAAAAATGACTTTGACAAAAAATGAAATTATATGATAATGACTTGATGTTTCCGCGAATATAAATGCGAGGGAACCTTCACCGATTTTGAACTTAAGGCATCAAAATGCATCTTTTACAATTTGATGCTAAATAATTGAACATTTGAATAAAATACTCGGGCACTATACTAACAAGTTGCATTGAATTTTTCTTACTTATGTATTTGAGTTACGCAATTGGATGAATTATATACGAACCTAAAATTCAAGATTTTCAAGGAGCAGAGGGAGTGGGTGACACTAACGAATTACATAAGAGCACTACAAATCTATGCAATTTTTCCATTGCTTTCACCACCACCCCCGTTTCTTTCTTTTACTGCTACTTATGTAGCTCATCCATTTATTTTGCGATCTTCAATCAAATATAAATTTGACCTCTTTTTCGAGTATATCTTGATAGTTATCATATGTCGTATGTGAGAAAAGAGAGTGAAACTCAGGTAATAGAAACGTTGGACAAAGCAATGAGCGAATGCCTTCAGAGAATTATTGGGTAGCTGCGTGCCCCGTCACCATTTTTCCGGGGTGGAGACAATGACAGATGCACAATCATCCATGTCGTTAAAACATATGAAAAACTAGGCTACCATAATTTGATACTTTTATTAGCCAAGCTTGACTCACAAGTGACTGACAAGCGAGCATAATAACCGATATTCGTAACGTATGCCTCAAAATCAAAGGTTTATAACGCCTATTAATTATGTTCCTCTGTTGCTGGAAAAATAGTTTATAATATTGACAACACATGTATGCTACCGAGGCCTCAAACAAATTATGCGGTAACACCTTAGCACATGTGCCCGGTACCTTTTGAGGTAAAGTGAAAAAATCGTGTCAAAATCACGTTTATGATAATATTGATGACGATAAATACATGCATATAACCATCGGTCAGCAGGTTCTGCGTTCCACCCAATTTTTTGTACAGGCGTGTTGATGTCGCAAAAGTTGCATTAACTATCGAACTGCAACTCACTGGGGAGGGAGAAGGAAAAGCAAATTTATTAAAGCTCGAGTTAATTATTTGTTATACTCGTATGACCATGAGCGTACATATGTATATCCAAATCAGTGGAGCAAGTGGAGTCGTGGGATTTGGCAGTGCTGGGAGAAGTACGGGTAGGACGGAGCGGCGGTGGCTAATGCTAATGAAATCCGACATGACATCGTGCGGTGATGCTCTGGCGTTGATTCCTGCTTGATGATAAGCCTTGGCAATTTAGAGTTGTATCCAGTCGACATGAATTGGATATTCGGCCGCCTTTCCACTCACTTTCTCAGTCTGTTGCGGGTGAAGCGAAGATCGATCAGAGGGTGAGCAAGCATCTAGAAAATGTGGCAGAAAGAGGAACAGCGAATCCATCCACGACTACTAGACCTGCATTTAGAGAGAAAAGAAGCAGGCAACTCTTCTCTAGGCAGCAAGGAAAGAAAACCCGTGAACCAAACCGACCTTGAGTAATGACATTGGAGGTTGCTCTCTCTCTCTTTCTCCATCATCCTCCCACCCACCATCAACTTTCTCCCGGTGACTATGCCATACTGCTTGCAAATAATAACTCAGCTCTGGGATAAAATCGTCATCTCAACTCCTCCGAGTAGGAGAAAACACAAAGTTTCGACTGAAGGTTCATTTTTCAATTTCCGTCTCATAGTCCAACTTTTGCCCCTTGATTATTTGCACAGGAGGTACTACATCCATTTGTATGATGCTGAATCCTATAAAAATTTCTAGTTTGTTCTAGATGCCACTGGCTTGACTCTCGTATCTGCTCACTCAGTACTACGTGTGGTTATTCCATTCCCACATATCGAAATATGATTTAACACGAGTGTACGTTTGCACACGGTATAATTCGATCTATGCATAATTCCATGCATACTACGTACGTATGTACGTACGTATTTAGTTATAGTTCGAACTAACTACTTTCACCCGCTCTGAGATGAAAACTGGGATGGGAAGGACCTTTAAAGTTGGGAGAAGTTTTGAGTGACTCCAATTTAGTGGTTCATGCTCTAAATAGATAGCTCAAAATTATGCAGAGAAAGTTATTTCTTCGTTCTGTGTGTACGTATAACCAGTTTGAGAGGAAAGCAGAACGGACGGATGGACGAAGTCAGCTTAGTCAAAGTCAGTGCAGTGGGCCATTCATTCATTGCTTATTCGCATGCATGCGAAGGCTGAGGAGCTCGAGTAGTGCGTCAAACCAGAGTCAGACAGACATCCCACGGTTTGATTAAAGGTCGGTTTCCAAAAAGGAAAATAATTGGTACGGAAATTTTACATACATACCTTCTCCCAATTTCATTTCTACAAAGAAGGAGAGAGAGAGAGAGAAGGGTTACTTGGCAGAAGGATATTATTTGTAACGTAATTTATCTTCTGGATTTGTTTTATCTAATACCACGAACAAAAGGGATTTATTACAGCCCTGTCGGTTCACATCGTACTTACTCAATCGCCCAACCAACCAACCAAGCCGTGGATGAAGAACATT